TCGCAGATAAGTCCGCCATCAGATAAGTCCGCCTGCAGATAAGTCCGCCATCAAATAAATTCGCTTTTTTGACAAGGAAAATTGACGAAAATGCACTCTCGCGCCGCCAAGAACCTAGAGATAAGTCCGCCTACAGATAAGTCCGCCATCAAATAAGTTCGCTTTTTTCTCAGATGAAAAACAGAAGGATGCGCAATCAAGCAGGCAGCACCAAATTTGTTTACAGTATTTTTTGTCTTGGATGTACAAGCTTAATAAAACAAGAATCGAGAAGAAGAACAAAGAAGGCTAATGCTTTGCTAGGATTGAGCGTTTTTAGACTATCACTCTTCCGTTCAATAAGGAAGGTATTTGACAAAAGCCATAGTGAAAAAGGAAAGCATTTGACAAAAACCGTATGGCGTAGGTCAACAGAGACTACGTTCAGACCATGTAAACAATAGAGGAAGCAAAAAGTGTAGGCAGCCAAGTTCAAAGTTGTAGGAATCAGTAGCTTGCTAACAATAAGCTAACCTGAGAATTGAGTAGATTTTGGAACTATGGATGATCTGCAAGGATGCTGAACAGTTTGAAAAGCCCTTATGAAACGCGATCGAGAGTTTGGTAACTTTTCTTGAGTGGAAGAGGAATTGTGACGCTTTCAGAAAGGATACTTTGTGAAAAGAAAAAGGGAATGGAGTGTTTGTGAGAAACTTTGGATTTGTTAGTTTGAATGTTGGCTAAATATTTCCAAGAATGTTAGTTTGAGTTTTCTCGCTAATTTAATTTTGGAAAGAGATAAGAGTAGTCTCAGCAAGAACTTTTAGGGGAGTGGAGGTTCTAAGGCAGCTTGGGATATCATTCAGTGTGGAAACAGAGCCCCGGGTGGGAAGAGTACGTAGCTGATAAAGCTTTGTCGGGTATGGGACGGGTGCTTGCTCCTGAGTGAAAAGAAGTTGAGGGTGGGGGAGGGGAGGGGGAGGGAAGCGATTTGGATAGCAGAACGCGATTATCTGTAGAGCAAAGGAAGGAGCGATACGGCAAAAAAATTTGGAAGGAAGCGGTCATAATTCTGTTGCCACTTTTGATGAAAAGATTCTCGAAATTCTAACGACTGGCGGTGGCGTACCGAGGGAGGGGAGCCCCCCCCCCCGAGAATGAATCGCGAAATTTTTAAAATTTACTCAAATGTGTTATAAAAATGTGCGAAGGATTTGTTTTTACTTGTAAATAATTAAAATAATTTTTGAAAATTTTTGAAAATTCAAATTAGCCTTATAAAGAAATTTTTTCGGGGGCGCGGCTACCGCAACGCCGCCCCCTTTTTCTAGAATTTTGGGGTCAGGGGCCCGGAAAAATTTTGGGAAACATACCAGAAAATTTTTTGGAGGGCGTGCCGTCAGCCACGCACCTTCATTTAAAAAATTTTTTGTCGCGCCCCTCCCTCCCCCCCCCCCCCCCGAGCCGAAATCCTTGATACGCCACTGGTGACAAATTAAGAAGATGCTGGTGGAATATGATGAGTTAGCTCAGAAACAACCAAACAGACACATAAAATACTAAGCTTATAAGCTCTTGAAAAAAATTCGCTAGGTATTTTGAAAACAGGGAATTACTTAAGACAACTGCGCTCTCATGGATTTGCCCAACACAACTGCGCTGCTGTAGATATCATTTTTTTAAAAAGTTCTCCTTTTTCCGCCTTCGTTTAGCTCATTGTCAGTACTAATTCAAACTCTCGTAAAGTTTAGCTAGCTAATATATAATTGGTGTATCTGCATTGCATTGTGCTAAATTTTGCTTTGAAGGAGTCGGGTAAGTAGACCTTGCATTTTTTGAGTATGTGCTCTTGTGCATGCGCAATATTTCTACTCGTCTTCCATCAGCATACCAAAGAAATATCTAGACTTTGAGCAAAAGAAAAAGGAAGCGAAACAAAATGTTGTAGATGAACTTCAAGCCCACACATTCCATCGCTTAGTGAACGAATGGATGACTTATGCTTTATTACCCCAACTAGTTACTATGCACCATGAGGCAATAATTGACTTTATCGTACTATTTTCGATTAGACAGTAAACTAGATCACAAGTAGACCTTGAGTAAAAGATGGTCGAAGACCCAAATCGTAAGCATTGTTAGTGACAGAGCTGAAGCATACTATATCACAAATACTTTGGAGAGAGTACAAAGTAATACTTTGCTGGAGTTCGAAAAACCACCTCATATTTATACATAAAGTGTTTTGTACTGTAGCAGTTCCTTCTGTATCTGTAAGAAATTTTCTAATAGATTATTGATTAACTCGCAAAATTTGATTAGAGAAACAAAATCAACTAACTAAAATTCACATCCTAAAAAGGACATTTAAAAAAGCTTTGCCTTTCAAAAACTAGTCACTGTACAAGTGAGAATTTCTGCAAGGTCTACATGCCGTATAAACTTTATTTTGGAAAAAATCAGGCACAGAACAGACAAACAATGGATAAAAACCCGACCCAAATCGACAAGTAATGTGCACGTTCACTTCTCTGATCCACACAATCCAAGGCTTTTATCGCATGACTTTGCTCCGGAAGCATCGCATTTAGTGCATGCGGTGCCAGATTTGTACATTGATTGGCCGACTTTGTTACCTCTAAATAAAATCGCATAAATTACCCAGTCTGACATTTAAGGTCGTTTTTTGGCTCAGATGTATCCGTTTCCAGGTAAGTCCGTTCTTCAGATGTCCTATTTTCCATTGAATGTTATAGAATTTTGTTACATGATTTCGAAGCGGCCTTACCTGCCTCGGACTTAGCTCTAAACGGATTTATCAGCGGGTTTGCCCTGTACGTCAGATTCAGGGTAGTTTCGTTTGAAATGTGATTAAATCTTACGGCGGATAGTAGCGGCATGCTTCCATCCAATAGCTACCACATTTGGCGATAGAGCATCCCATTTCTCTACTTGACGCCCAGCCCATCTTCAAGGATAATAAATTCAGTATGATATCTAATACAAAGTAATGAACATTATGGTTTTGTCTCAGAGCTCCTTTTGCTTCCAAAACAAGCACACTTACTAGAGTGAATGATTTTATCTCCGTGTTGTTGTGTTTGGTAGTAAAGGCTTTTGTTCCAGATCCCGCAACCTTCCGAACCTGTTTCCACCATTCGGTGACCGCCTGAAGAACTACTGTTCAAGTTCTTCAGTCTCACGCCGACAATATACCTTTTTATTCATGTCCCTGAATGTTGGCTCGTTTGTAGTACCGTAATAGAAATTTTGCGCTAAGCTGTCATCATTAGGTCTTTCGTAGCCTTCCTTTGGGCAGTCTCTGAGAAAATCGTGGGCTTCTCTCTCTAGTGCACAATCCCAAACCTGTCGACTACTTTCTACAGTTAGGTTGCAGAAGTCTCTTAGAGTTCAACTGACTAAATAATTCATGTTGAAGGCGGCGGGTAAAGGTTTTCCCTTATTGTCCGAAATTTGACCCAAGGCGAGCTGCGAGCTGAATGTAACATAATGTTGGATATTTCGAGGCAATGTACTGATTTCTCATTTGAGTTTGAGTTTGGAGCGTAGAAGGACGCACCGTCGGTAATTGTGAGTGTCTTGCATGTGCATTCTCATCGTGTCGGAAATTTCTTCCGATGAACACTTGGTGCTCGGTTATGAAAAGGGATATAATCAAAAGAAGTTCGCCATAAAAACAGTTTTGTTATTTGTGTTATGTCAGCTGTATTTGTATCCAACTATGGATTGCGAGCAAGAATCACATCAAAGCCTTGCCCTTCATTTTGAGAGAAGGGGGAGGGGAGGAGTGACTTTGCCACTTTTTTATCGAGTTCACTTTACTATCCCAGGGACGGTAGCAAAAGTGATAAATCTACTTCACTCAGTCCACAACGTACCAAGTTTATGATGAAGAGAACTAGCCTATCTTAACCTAAAACCGATTACCTTCGAAAATACAATTAAAATAGGTCACTATTAAGCCTGACAATTGGCTTACCGTCGGAACTTCCAGGAAATTCGACTGGGGCAAGGCACAACATGCCGTCGCACTTCAAAGATTCATCGCATTCGCAAGTTTTTGCAGTCCCCGTTTCATAGATCTCTTCTCCAATATGGATATTCCTGAAAGGCGGCAAAAATCTCAACGCTTCCTGGACTTTCTTTCTTTCGAGCGACCTCTGTTGTAAAATTAAATCTAATCTTTTAACTGCTAAAAAGCTACTTCATTGTTGATATTAGAACAGTTCTGATAGAAGTTTTTTTTGTACTTTATGATGTGTGGATCAATGAGCTAACCAGAACAAAACACTATATATATTGTTTCTTTTCAGGTTTCCGATTGTCTTACTCAGACAGCGGATAGGACCCCTCCGCCGGAGAAATGGCAGGGTCGCGGCGTTTCCCCAGCGGTGGGTCTCCCATTTGTCCGGCGGAGCCCTCCCATTTGTCCGGCGGAGCCCTCCCATTTCTCCGGCGGATACCTCCCATTTTCTGCTCCGGATACCTCCCATTTTCTGCTCCGGATACCTCCCATTTTCTGCTCCGGAGCCCCCCGATTTTGTGCTCCGCAAGTCTGCCGCGGCATACTGTAATTAGCCCTAATTAAGCTCCAAACCCCATGTGGGTTTGGAGCTTAATTAGGGCTAATTACAGTATGTTGCGGCAGACTTCGTCTTGTCTCTAAACTTTGTCGACTTTGTCTCTAAACCCCACCCAAATCAGCCGAATACGACCCCCCCCGGGTAAGAGTTCAGCGCGACCCTCAACCCCGTCTTTACCCCATCCCTCTCACCTCTAGCGTTTGTGGATAGAAGATAGAAGAAAGAACGAAGAGATAAGACATTTATTTCAAATTTTTCAAACTTCTTCGAAAAATCATTTTATATCGTTAATCATTTCACACCCACTGGTGTAACGAAGAATGAACCTTTCCAACCAAACAACGGTTTGTGGAACAGTTAAATTGCAGTCGCATTTGGCCCATACCATCGGCGACTCTTAAAAGCCTTAAAAGCCTCTTAAGCCTGATAAACACCATTATATTTTTCTGAGATATGTGAAAGACATCTTACCATTACGTAGTAATCTCCGAGGTTGATCTCTTGGGTTTTGCCAACAGGTGACAAAGCAGTCAGAAGCGCCTTGTTCTGATCGGTTACTGCTTTAGCGGCGAGATTAAAATTGGTCATAGCCTAAAAGAGCTACCAGTATATACTGAAGTTATTAGAAAGCTGCTTGTATTACACACTTTCAAGGGTTTTCCTATTCCAGAGTATGCAATGGCACTGTAAAATGTCATGACAGGGCGAAGTTCATCAGGGATACTGCTTGCAGATAAAGTGCAAAGGTTCTAAATGCACCAAGTCCATTGCGTGACATAATGGAAAAACATGAATTGAATCAGTGGTATTTGAAAATTATAGCTTGCAAAGACACCTACCATCAAAACTGCATACTGCTCATGCAATGCTAAAGATCTGGCCAAGAAAACCTGCGCGGAATATGGTGATAGAAATAGTAATCCAGCCTGGACATAATCTGTTTGACAAAACAAGAACGACACTGCATTGAATTATACCTCGAGTATTTTGTCCAGAAAAACGTTGAATTCCGGGGATGGGTCAGCTTTTTCAAAGCGTCCTATGTGCGCTACCTTATCAGCCAATCCACGCCCTCTCCTTTGAAGAACCAACTACATAGAGACACCTAAACATTATCCCTAGAAAGATTTCGAGACACTAGATTTCGCATATCTGGGACACGCATGCGTCTATTCAGGCCCACTTTGCCAATTTCAGAGACAGCTGATCGTCAAACAATCTATAATTATTGATGATATTGCTGAGTTTCCTTTCGAGATCAGAAAACTCAAACATCGGATAGTCGTAACGCCCTGAAATCTTATTGAAATACCACAAACTTGAGAAAACTGTTTTTACCCACACTGTCTTCAGAGTAGAGCTGAATTAATGCTAGCAAGCTCCGCGCAATATCAAGACGCTGTTTCACCACGTGCCGTAGTCGTGCTGCTATGAGTCCGCAAGTAAAGGATCCACCAAATAAAGTGTCATCGGGAGTCGGCTCTACTGTACTATCATTCATTCAAACAAAGGATAAGTAGAAATGCTATATACCAATGATACCTGGGGGAGATTGAGATGCTTGGATGGCTTCCAAGAACAAACTTATGATTTGAGACCATTTCTGGACCACCTAAGTTGATAAACGCATGTCAAATCTCACAATCTGTGATCGCATGAAAGTAGAATCATGGGCGGGTCCGTCCGACATCACATACTCAGCTAGCCCAAGCTCGTCTTCCTCCTGAATTCTGAGGATAAATGGTGGTTTGAAACGCCCAGTAAACAAAAGTCCTCTTCCCCTGATATGAGGCTAACATCATGAAAAAAGAAAAGTAAAAACAAGGATTCACCAACAAAATCAAACAATTTGACTAAACAGATATCAAACCTTAGCCGCAGCTCTCTCCAATGCGATAGAAACCATTTTATCCATGCCTTCAGGTGGTTGGTGCCTCACGGAACACAACTTCTTCTGCTTTATCGTCTGGGAAAGAAACGCAGTGAATTAAACGTTGTTGGAAAGCAAGCTCAGTCCTTTCTTGACATTACTCACATTTATTGGCATGTAAGGTGACAACAACCAGTTGTCCTTCAGCCATGCAATAGGCGATCTAAATGATAGACTGCAAAATTTACTGCGTACTTTAGATGAGGATAAACACACCTTGGTAAACTGCGGTTCGTGCACAGGGGCTTTCAATCCGAGTGTCACGGTCGACGTGGTTCACCCCCTCGAGAGCCGCGTCGCATGGGTCTCTCACGTGGCACAAGGCCGCATCCGCTAAGGCCTTCGCGTTACCGGGTGCGGTCGTGTACTACGTGAGAGACCCATGCGACGCGGCTCTCGAGGGGGTGAACCACGTCAACCGTGACACTCAGATTGAAAACCCCTGTATAACAGATGCGCGAAACGCCGCAAGCATTGCCGCAAGCATACGCATGAGCTCCGTGCCCAACCAATCAATAACTCGTGATAAAGTGTAAATTGAACATACCAAAGAATAAAACGATCAGGGAAGTGACTGTGAAACGTGCAAACGCCTAAAGATGGCTCAACATTTGCATTGATGGAATGCAAAGCGGCATCTGAAGACAATCAAAAAATCAAAACTCCCGAGACCTCGAGAAAAGAAGTAGAGCTGTGACTTACTAGTATTCACTACGAATGTCCGCACTGGTTTTGGCGCAAAACTCTCGGTGAAAACAACCTCTGTATCGTAAATGGGATCCATACCAGTAAACACAGATATCTTGAGTTGGTTTGGTTACGTCTAAACATAGTGTATACTAAACTGAAGTCAAAATCAACAACAACAACAGAAAGAGTAGAAGTGCTAAAGCTGAAGGTAAAAAAGCTGCATTGCGAAAATTTTGAAAGCAATGCTGCACAATGCAATGCATGCTCTTCACAGTTCATTACCTCTGCCCTGAAAACAAAATATGGTATGTAAAAAACAGTCATATTGATAATTCGCGGAAAACCGCATGATAATCCCACACAGACACGCGAGATGCGAACCACGCAAACGGCAAAGTGATTCATCGGTGGAGATAGCAATAAACGAGTTATTTAGACGATACTTTCATCACAACAACACTAGATAGTTGCGCAACTAACCTAATTGTTTCGAAAATCCAGAATTAATCACAAAAACCACTCCATCAATAGTCTACGATGTCTCAGCAAGTCGGAAAGAGCCAAACACTGAAGGTGATTGAGTGCAACCGCACGAAAATTTGAAACATAAACCTGAAAACGAGGAGCTTACAGCAACATAAACGCCAACGCGACGAAGAGCAACGCGGAAAAGAAAAAAACGGTAAAGAAACGCGCAAAAACAACAAAATCAAAGAAACGGCGACTAAAATATGGACAAAGAGCGTAAACAGAGGACTCATCACCGTGGAGTTAGACGTTTGCTCGCTACGCGCCAAATCGATACGCAGCCTGCTCCGGATACATCCCATTTTCTGCTCCGGATACCTCCCATTTTCTGCTCCGGATACCTCCCATTTTCTGCTCCGGATACCTCCCATTTTCTGCTCCGGATACCTCCCATTTTCTGCTCCGGAGGCCTCCCATTTCTGCTCCGGACCCCTCCCATTTTCTCCGGCGCGGCTCTTCCAAATTTGGCGGACACGCGCCGCGCAAATTTCTCCGGCGCGGAGTCCGCCAAATCTGGCAGAGTCGCGCCGGAGAAATGGCGGACCTTTGCAGCAGGGCCGGAGAAGCCTCCCATTTGCCTGCCAGTGATGTCACCGCGATGGACCGCCCATTTGCCCTTCTCTCATTGGTCAACTGGGTCCGGCGCGACTCTGGCAGTTTCGGAGGGTCCGGCGGAGGGGTCCCGTCGATTGTCTGAGTACTACCAATTTTCACTGAACTTCCGATTTGCGGCTGTAATCAGTGCATAATCCACCCAAATTAACATGAGCACTTTATATTTGAAGTTGAAGTTAGAGTTGAATAAGTTATGTTAACCTGTAAATTTTTACCGCTTCCGCTCCGCTGCAACTTTAGGGTTTCCAAGAAAATGCGTCTTTCGTTTGATTATCAATCTTTTGTCATGAAGCTTTGTAGAAGCTCTAGGTATTGTACCTAAAGCTTCGATTGGTCTTCGTAACTGTAGAATTGCGGTTGGAACTCGGAAGAGGGTTGGTTCTGAGCCACGAAGGGCCATATTTTGCGTTAGAAAGGAAACAAAGAAACTTGAAAACGGCTGTCTAGAGTTGTTGGTTCTAAATACGAATTTTGCATCTCATCGTAATGCTTCCTTTGAAAGTTATGCGTGGTAAGCAGCGGCAGCCGCAATTTCGATGCTCCTAAAAAATGTCGGTACTCCATTCAAAAAGCTTCACAATTTTGTGGAATTTGTGTGTCAAACTCAGCGGCCACGAAATCCCCGTCACACAAATTTTCAGATCTTAAAATTCTGGAACTGCAGCTTTTTTTCAAAGTGATGGTACAGTGCACTGCTTTATCAGTTAGCAAACCTATTGTCTGAAAGTCCAAAACAATTTTCAAAAATGTTCCAAATTGGACGACAATCTTAAAGTGTAAGCTTGAGCAGTCATCCACATTTTTTGGAGGTGGAAAGTTTCATACATAGCATTGCTGTCGAAAGTGATAGGAAAGCTTGAAAGTTTTTGAATTCAAAAAAGTCTGCTAATGTTATGCACTACTCATTGTCAAACAGGGGAAGAGAAGTGCGAATAGCATAATCCTTGTGCTTTGCTCTACTTAAAAACTTGCGATATTGATATTATTATTTCACAAAAGAAAGCTGGGAAAAAATTTCTGTTTTTTATTTTGAATTGCTAAGTGGTTTTGAGCTGTAAGGCGAGCCTTCACGATAGAAAGCTAATAGTTGTCATTCGAAATGTTAGCATAAAATACTACCTCTCGTCAGTGAAACACAAATCCATGTAGTAATCTCCGTATCTTCAGTGCTGCATGTCTTGACTGCGCAACCAACTTTAGAGGCACTACTACGCATTAGCTGAAAGCTGATTTCTATTCAAGAATAAATAGTTTTTGGAGCAAATGTGCATACGTTGGCGTAGAGTAATAAGTGTTCACCGTTGTTCCTATACTTTGTACCTTGATTTCTATCAAAGGAAACATAATTGTCTATCGTATGGTCGAGGTCTTCCCACAAAGGATGTATACCAGTGTAGCTATCGTAACTAAAAATTCAAATGAGTTCTTACGATAGCTGTATACATATTAGGTTGTACCGAAAGTTCGTTCGCACAAATTCAAAAATTCATAACTTCTGATCTTTCCAGCCGATTGGACCGCTTTCACTTTTAACGGAAAAAGTAAGTCATGCTCTTTATAACACTGCTAATTACGGCTTACTAGTGATCATTCTTTGCACAGATAGGAGCGGTAGAAGAAAATTAGTCAAAATAGAGCGATCACAAAAATGTAAGCAAATTGCGCAAGCCTAGGAACGGCCGGCATGATTTGCGGCTTGACCCCATATCATGCCGCTGATCTAACAACAAGCGAGAAACGGTACTAAAAGGGCATGATGGAGCTGAGGGAACATTCTCGCTTCTTTACACGGCTTGAAGTCGACCGGCTCACGCTTCGCCAAACTCCCACGCGTCAAGGGATAGCTTCGGTACTTTTAATAATCGCTTTTACCTGTCTATTGTATTGTCTATTGTATTTTTTCCAATAAACGAATAAGCCGTCAGTGTGTGTGTCTATCAATTTACAAAATTTAATTTTCTGTGGAGGGTCATAAAAAATCAAAAACTTGCAACAAAAATCTGAGCAGTCGGCATTATAGGTTCTATTACCTGCTCTTTCTAACTGTGCAAAGTTTGCGCTGATTGAGCGTCTCTATCAAAAATTCTGATTTACGAGAAAAATGCTAAAATAAATCAAAATTGCCTTTGTATTGCTTGCTCGAAAATCATAAGTTTTGATAGAGACGTTCAGTCAGCACAAATCTGCAAAATCAGAAAGAGCGAGTTGTAGACCTATAAACCTATAATACCAAGTGCTCTGATTTTTATTGCTAATTTTAGATTTTTTATGACCCTACACAGAAAGTTCAAAATTTGACTAATTTTCTCCTACCGTTCTTATCTACGCAACATATGATCGTTAGTAAGCATTCGAGTGGTCACTATAAAGAGTATGACTTACTCTTTCATATAAAAATAAAAGCGCTTCAATCGGTTGGAAAGAAGTTATGAATTTTTGAATTTGGTGCGAGCGAACTTTCGGTACAACCTAATATGATCGGTCTGCAGTAGCAAGATCACTAGAGCAGTACCAACGAGCTGAGATTTCAATGCTCACGAATTCAGAGCTTTATAACAAATCTGCTTTGACATAGAGGAACATTTGCGGAGCATCCGCATAGAGCATAGCCTTTGAAGATACATACCTTACAAAGAAATAACCTTTTTCAGGTTCCAGATGCTCTGGAATTGTTACGGTGCAACCCAGTCCTTTCAAAAAATTCTCTGCTTCCCGTTCCAGTGTGCAGTCATATGCCT